CTATGTTATTAGTTATCTCTTTTGACAGCAGTTGGCAGCACGGTCGTTTGAGAACGCGAATAAGCGAACGGTTTGTCTCTATAAGCAGAGCAACCGACTAAATTTCTTTCTGCATTTCTAGCGCACCAAATTTTTTTTATTCGATTCTATTTATATTTTTTTTAATTTTAATGTATGTTTTTTTAATTTTTCCAAGAGGTCCGGAAATTGTTATTAACAAATAACTTATAAAAAAAAGCAATTTCCCGAATAGCGTAGAGTAATTTGTTTTGGACGTATCTCATCGAAATAAATACTTTTTTATGTCGGTAATTTTTCAAAAAATGCTTTCGTTTCGAGTTATTTGCAATGATTTGTCGAAAAAATCCCTTAATTAGTGATTTTTAGTTATTTTATTTATCGTATGACAACACATTTAGAACAAAATTACAAACACTAGTATAGTATAGGTATATGACAAACTTTAAATAGTTACAAACAAACATCAAGTGTATTAACATAATCAATTGACTCTGAAGTTGCAAACAGGAAGTCTTCAGGGCTACCATTATAAGATCTTGAGGGACACTCTTCAATAATGTGGTCGATCGTTTGGTTCTTCCCACAGTCACATTGAGAAGACGGATTCTTTCCCCATTTATGTAGCATATATGCACATCTGCCATGTCTGGTTCGGATCCTGTTTAGAGTGGACCATGTTTTACGTGGAAGATCAAAACCTGGTGGCTTGTGGGTAATGCAGGGCATGTTATTTTGCCATGCATTCCATTCTTGGAACCATGCATTCATGATGTTGAACTCCTCATGCATTTTTCTTGCCATTTCCATTGGTGGTTTTCTAGAACGTAGACGGGTATTTCGTGCATCCTCGGTATCTTGGTGGATCGGCAGGTTTATATTGTTCATGATATTTTTGTATTCACGTGTAAGTGCGTTAACTCGTCGTAAATGAGGAGGTGGATTGCGACTTAATACTGGAAGCCATTGGGTGGGAGTTAATTTAATTGTACCAGCTATCATCCTCATAGTGCTGTGGAGCTGAGAGTCGACCTTTTTTACGTGTGGACTGTGTAGCCAAACTGGGGTACAATATTCAGCGGTCGAGAAAACAAGGGCTAAAGCAGTAGAGCGGAAAGTGGAAACGATGCTCCCCAGGTGGTACCGCAGAGCTTCTGTATAATGTTATTTCTTGTACTCAACTTTTGGGCAGTTTTTGTTAAATGCTCTTTAAATGATAGCGTTCTGTCTAGTGTTACGCCCAGGTACTTCGGTGTTTTGTTGTGGGAAAGTGTGGTATTTTCAAACCGTATGTTGAGTTCCTTTCCAGCAAGTTTATTGTTCAGGTGAAAGCAACTTACTTCTGTTTTGGATGCATTTGGTTAAAGCCGCCACTTGTGAAAATACTTGCTCAATATATATATATATATATATATATATATATATATATATATATATATATATATATACAATACAACATCACAGATAACCAACTTGACTGATATATCTATTAACAACTAACCTACTTTAATAATAATTTTCATTAACAAAAAAAGATAACATTCCCTTGCTTTTCTTAGATACATCTCAATAAGATATTATTATAATAATACATGAACAATATACTAATTAAAAAAAAAGAATTTCAATTAAGAAAATTCTAAACTAATATCTCCCCAGACTGGGATCTAACTTCATGGGTTTTACCAATGAACCTTAACGACATTGATATCAAAAGCACTACTTGTAATTGTTTCGGCGCTTGCGTTCTATGAAAACAGAAGCTCACATTCAAACTTTACCACAATTAAAAATTTAGTTATTGCCGACAATTCAAAGAATTACTTCCTTTAAATGTAGTTACATTGGGTTTTTCGATTGTCCTTGGGTAAACCTTTGCGTTTTAAGTTCAAAGCTACCATACATTTCTAACGTTAACAAATAAACTTTTTTGCACATAATAACAAAAAAACACCACTATGTTGTCACTAGCTAAAGTTTTTTAACATCATAACTCGACATTTCTAAAATTTCACGGTAAGGTAAATGTTTTTTATTAGATAATAATATGATAGCTAATTATAATTTATTCTATTTCAGCCCTGAAGAAGCCAAATTAATTAAGTCTGCCGTCAGAACTTATTCAGATGTTTCTAGTGTTCTGCATCGTGTAGTGAGGGCCCAGTCATCGGCGTATCCGAACTTTCTTGATTGTGTTTCTGGTATATCTGCTAAATATAAGCTAAATAGTAATGGAGAGAGCACTGACCCCTGTGGTAGGCAATTCTTAAGTTTCTTTGGTGGGCTGATATCTGTGCCCATCACTACTTGAAACATTCGGTCGTTGAGCATGCTATCTATTAAACGTGCTATTTGTTTACAGGGGATTGCACGGAGAATTTTGTATATAAGGCCCTCTCTCCACACTGTATCGTAAGCTGTCGAGAGATCAATAAATGCCGCTGAAGTTTTAAGTCTTCTTTGGAAATCCGCTTCGATGTAGGTAGTGGTAGTGGTAGTAGCTTCGTTCTGGTCGAAAACCCGCTTGTTCGACTGGGATCACCTGGAACAGTTCTGTACTGATTCTATTATATATAAGCCTCTCTACTAGTTTGTAGTTGGCAGAGAGAAGCGCAATTGGTCTGAATTTTTTTGGGTTATCAGCGGGTTTGCCTGGCTTTGGTATGGCTATTATCTTAGAGCGCTTTAGTTCTTGTGGGATATTTCCAGTTTCCATGATGTCTGTGAAAAATCGAGCCAACCAAACTTTTGTATACTTGCCACAATTTAGTAGGAATTCAGGGTGAATATTATCAAATCCTGGTGCTTTTGCTGGCTTAACGTCTTTAAAAGCCTCTGATATGTCTTCGCTGGTGAAGGGGAGGGAGTGCTTCGTTTCTGTGGCTAAATGTTTTAAAGTTTTAAGTTCTCTCTTTACGTAGATGGTGTGTGCTTTATCCTTTGGTGCTCTGGATGTTTTTACTATATGTGCTGCTACGGCATCTGGCTTTACGGCTGCATCTCGGCGTTTCGTGCGGACTCCCTTATTTTCTTAGTAATGACCATGCCTGTCTGCTTGATTTCTGGAAGTTTAGACTTCTATTGTTTCGGTCCACTTTTGGCTTCTAGCGGCGTCTAGGCTGTACAGTAGTTCATCCGCTATTTCTTGCTCGCCAGTTTCAAGAAAGCTTTGATATAGTTCCTCGCTATTTTCTGACCAGCCAGGAACATATTCTTTGCGATATCTTGTTTTGGCTGTGTGGGAAATCAGTTAGAACTCTTCGTGAAGCCGCTAGAGGTAAGTCTTTGTTGTCGGTGGAGACGAGGCATAGGTCGGGGTTGTATTCCCGCCTCTATGCCGCAGATCTGAAGGTTGGTCGATCTTTGGCATCAAACAAAAGGTATAGGCGTTCGTCTTCTGTCCATTTTATTAAAGCATTCCCATTTGCATCACTATCTCCAACATATACAGCAGGGGGAGGCTGTACTGGAATTGCTTGGGCTGGCCAAGAAGTAGCAGGTGGCTTGTAAATGTTGGACATGGTAATGGTAGCGATTTTTGTGACCACATTATAAATGCAGTCATCAGTGGAAGTAGAGATTAGCGAAGCATTTTCAATATCTTCTTTGACATATGTGGCTGTGCCGTATGTTCGGTGGTAAGTTGCACCTAATAGTTCATATCCTGGTATTTTGGTACGGGTTTCCTGTATAGCAGCTAAGTCAATGTTGTCATCTTTTAATAGTTTTGATAAAAACTGGCTTTTAGCATAGCTTATGCCTTCTATGTTTATGTGGCAAATTCGAACTATAGGTCCGATTGGTCTAGTTGTGCGGTCCTCACAAGGGCCGTTTATTTTGTTTATTATCTTTCGTTGGAAGTGTTGTTTGGTCAAGAGATCCTAAGGATTGTCTGACTGCCAGTATGTGCTAGTTCATTCAGCGTTACCCAGGGTGCACGTGTAGTATTCTACTACGGACGCGAACTAGCTCTACACCCCAGTGATTTTTAGTGCTTTAGTCGCTTTCCAAATTGAAACAGATGACGCGCACGCGCGCATGATTTGCAGCAATTTTGCCACACACTTGAAACACCGTCTTTAGCTTTAACTTCCCTCGTCATATTTGACGCAACAATTTGGAATCAAACAAAAATCAAACTAGCCTCAAGGTTTTGATAAAAACTGGCTTTTAGCATAGTTTATGCCTTTTATGTTTATGTGGCAAATTCGAACTATAGGTCCGATTGGTCTAGTTGTGCGGTCCTCACAAGGGCCGTTTATTTTGTTTATTATCTTTCGTTGGAAGTGTTGTTTGGTCAGGAGATCCTAAGGATTATCTGACTGCCAGTATGTGCAGAACTAGCCTCAAGCGTCACATAATAAATAACAATCAGAATGCCCTCTCTCAGATGCCGAATTTGAAGTGTGTCAACACGCGATCGCCATATTTTAAACGGAAATACAGACTGGGATTGAGAAATTTGTGACAAGCTAGGACAGAACCATAATTTTAATTTTTAGAGATTAATAATTTAGTAAATTTGAAATAATTTAATCTATTCTTTAACTAAAATTACGATATAAAATATTGCATATTATATATATGGTTACCTAAATTAATTAAACCGGGATAATTTTTCTATGCGCACCAGATAAAATTTCACCGAACACCACTGGTTCTGTTTAAAACATGGCTGATTTCGTATGCGCGAACAAGATGCGCGTACTTATCTTGACAAGCAGAGTGGGCATTCTGATTGTTTTATTATTCTTTGGTTGCGTGCTATCTGGGATCCTACTAGCTATCTTACACATAAACTATTGTATCTTCGAAAATGAATACAAGTTATGCACATCACATACCTTTACAATTTACCACAATTTCAGTTTTCTTAGATGCATTTAACTGCTTTTTTACTGATTAAAAAGTTTGTATCTTTATTTCGTGTGATGTGATTAACCAGGCGTATATAATTACACACTCTTTTTTTTTCTTTTCAGACGATATCTCAACTAAAACTGGTACTTCATTTATTAGTAGGATTATTTTTAGGCGTAACTTTCCAAAATTGTGGCAGGGATGCCACAAAAGTGATAAGTAATTTAGGATTTTTACAAGTCGGTATAGTTTATTTGGCTTATACGTCAATGATGCCTGCAGTATTAAAATGTAAGTAGATATTAGTGAAAGAATCCATTCACAAAGTGTAAATACTTGTATATAGTTTAGTTAAATTTAAAGGATAATAAAAAAATCAATGCTATGAAGTACACGTTAAAAAATAATATATTTAATATGTAAATAATTCATTTAACAGAATAACATACATAATTGTAAATTATTATCAAATGTGATTAAATGACGACATCTAAAGAGCTAACCTAACCAACCAAACTTATCAATAAATTACGAAAACCATCGAGTTAGAATCTATGAAAAAGCTATGAGCATATTATTAACGTGTGTATTAAACACGGTATCAGTAGGTGTGGCTAACGATCATACCAATATGGCGGTGGGATCAGGGCCAGACTCAATAATATTAAAACTACTATACAAATATGACTAGTTATTCAGATAATAATCTGAATCTAATTAAAAAATTTAACATTTTTAATAAACTAAGGTTTATTTATCCCGCGGTAAACACTAAAAACACGATATATTATACATAAAGATAAATTAATACAGTCAAATAACAAGTTGTATCTGAAAGAAATAATAATATAAATATTTTAAAGGGTAAAATGAATATACGGTATGAAATAAAACAAATACGTTCTTTTTACAACTTATATTTTTTATAACTACAAATTAACTGACACTTAAACATTTAGTTCAATTAACAAAGTTAGAAAAGTTATTATTAAAAAAACAAAATTAAATATCTGCAGAATATCACAATGGAAATACTGTGTAAAAATAAAAATAATGATGATGCAGTAGTTAATAAGAATATATGACCTGTGTGGAACAGGTGTCTTTCAAACGAATAGAAGAAAGAGTGAAGTTCTATCAATATCTTTTTCCAAAAAATGTTTTGAACATAAAACACTATATTTACCTATTTGGTTTCTTTTGGAAACCTAACAATACAATTATATGCATCACTAAGTATTAGTAACAAATTTATAATATAAATAAAAAATATGATTATTGAACTAAAAAATATTATAAACAGCTTAGGGAAAGGGCGGGTAAAATGGCATAGGCGGGTAAAATGGTTTTTTGTTCTCGTAGTTAAGCTAACGATTCTACGTCACCGCAATTCTGGATACTTATTATAAACAGTGGGAACACTGTCCACATTAAGTCTCGTGCACCTAATTTAACGGCCGGCCACGAGATTGGTGTATTTGTGAATAAGTGCTGGTCGAGTTCGATGCGTCAATGTAAGTTTTATTCAATAATTTATTAAATTAAGGTTATAGAGCTTTTTGAATTCACTTTTGGTAATTATGTTTTATACGCTGCATGTGACCTTAAATAAAAATTGTGTTTATTTCCATTATTAATTTTGTCTAACTATCAGTAGTCGGCAAATACAAAATGGGCAAAATGGCATAGCTTTATGGCGGGCAAAATAACATACTATGCCGTTTTGCCCGTCTGTTTTTCAGGTTAAGGTACGTATTCAGTTTTTTTTGCAGACGGTTTATTCATGTAAAAGGAAGTCTAACAGAAATAGTTGGAGTGAGAAAGACATGCAAAGAGCTTTGGAGGCAGTCCGAAATTCCGAAATTGGTTGGCTTAAAGCAAGCAATACATTTCATGTACCGTTCTCAACACTACGACGTCGAGCAGGTAATAAAAATAAAATTGCCATTGAAGCAAAAAAAGCATTTGGGCTCCCTGGCAACAGTTTTAAACGAAGATATGGAGACTGCATTAGTTGCCCACATTCTGTATCTTGATTCTGAAAAAAACAAGTGGGCTCTATCACGAGCGCAGAAAGGGGTGTATACACAACAGTTGTAGTGTGCATGAGTTCTGGAGGAACTCACGTACCACCATCAATAATTTTCTCCCGAAAAAGATTTAACCCACTTTTATATGACGGCGCACCTGTAGGAATATTAAAATTGAATAATGAATCAGGATACATGACCAGAGATTTGTTCATAAGGTGGATTGCAACATTTCATTGACCATGTCAGACCGAATCCTGCGCAGAAAGCATTATTAATTTTAGACGGACACTCCAGCCATAAAAGCTATGAAGCTTTAGAATCAGCTAAACAGAATTCAGTGGTATTACTTTGCCTGCCGGCACACGATGTTGCCTTTTTCGGACCACTCCATAAATATTATAATCAAGCTGTTACTCATTGGCTCAGAGAAAATCCTGGTCGTGCAATAACCATATATCAAGTGTCCAGTCTCTTCCAGAAAGCATATGTGAAAACAGCAAATATTGAAATCGCAATAAATGGTTTTCGGGTCACAGGAATATCACCTATAAATCGTGACATTTTTCGGGAGCATGTATTTTTGCCTAGTGCAACCACAGATGTGCCTGAGGATGTGTCTGGTTCTGCTAATAAACCTGACATTGCCTCTACATCTTTACCTGCTGATGTTAATGTTCCTCACGCTGCAACTTACGATCTTCATGATGTCCAAGAACCATCGGCATCTGGTTCTAAAAATGAATCTATTAAAGAAATCCTGATGGAATTGGTACCGGTACCTCAAAGTAATGTAAGAAAATCTACCAAACGTCAATCTGGTCAATACCAAGATGAATTAACCGAGAGCCCCTTCCTGAAATATCTCCGCGAAAAAGAAAATGAAAAAAAGCACAAGAAATAAAAAGCAGAAAAGGGGACTTCGTGAAAAGAAAAATAGTCAATGATTTAAGTGATGGAAGACGCATTGTAAACAAAGATAGACATCAGTCGGAAAGAAAAGGCAAGAGAAATATTGTGACCAGACCAATACTGAACAATATATCAAGTGATGAAGAAGAACCCTTTAGTATTGCTGATGATGAACAAGAGGACTGCGCTTGGATTTACTGCAATGATACGTTTAGTAGGTCCAAATCTAATGAAGGATGGTTAAGATGCCAAATTTGCCAAAACTGGTCACACTCAGAATGTGCTGGACTTCCCAAAAAAGGCAAAACAATTTATTTGCGAACTTTGTATGAACTAAAATGTTTAATTTCAATTTTTTTTTCTTCGTAAAAATTAAAAATTTATAATTATTTTTGTATTTAACACTATTGTTTATGTGTATGCCATTTTGCCCGTACTGGGCGGGCAAAATGGTTTTTTGTTACATCTTGATTTTGATTTTTTTTTTAAATAAATCTCTTTGTATGAGTGATTTTTTGTTACTTAGAATAGTAGAAAAATGACCTGCCTATCATTATACATCAAAAGGAATGATTTGTCTCTATTTATGTCTCAAATATATGGAAAATAAACTAAGTATGCCATCTTGCCCTCCCTTCCTCTACACATTGTTTATTAGTATCTTTATATTCTATGTATTCATTACTTATATTTTATTGGAAGTGGATGTTTTAATTGCTATTTTGAAAACTTTTAAAAATATTCAATAATGACTAAAAAATTAATCGAGTAATCTTTCTAAGTTACTGTAACATTTTTTATGAATACTATTAATTTATTTTCTGAAGTATGCTTCTATTATTGCAACTACGTTGAGAACAATAACCCATTATTATGCACTATCACAATATAATATTACAGTTTCTATAAAAGTATTATAAAACTAAAAATATTCGAAAAACAACAAACGTAAACAATCATACACGATCTGTCAAAACGATCATAACAATATGGCCGAAGTGAGGTCGTTTTTAGTTACGTGATGCCCTCTCCATAGATTCTAACTCGATGGTGAAAACGTATTATAAAGTCTGTGTCACACGGTAAATATCTGTTTGATCAAATTAGTTTAACCAAACCAAAAAATTGACAGAATATGACGTCATATCCTGAATGTGATCAAATCCTCTATTCTTCTATTTTTCAGCAACAGACATAACATGATGAAATTCATTTTTCTTTTGTTCTTTAGTTGACAGTATATGGTTTATTTCGCTTTCTATTTTGTTACAAAATAAAACTAAAAGTTTAAAATATCTTGGAGCCAGGAGCAAGTTTCTACATAATTGATTTATATCAAGAAAGAATAGAAGCATCCACATTATTATAAAAAATCCTTTCAGCTTTGTTATTTTTATTGTGGATAAGAAAAATTTGAATCGTATATAAAGCACAATAAACTAATAAATAAGTAAAAAAGACCATTCATGAATTTCATTGACATACGTCAATTTGAACAAATTTGAAGGATCATGCGACAGGTAGATTTTTAAAATTTGAACAAACTGTAATTTGTTTGTTTGATTATACTAGTTTGATCAAATATTTGACTGTCTGACACAGGCTTATTAGTCCCAAAAGAAAATTTATAAGATCTATAGTCGTTTAAAAATTGTCAGAAAAAAATCAATAAATAACTTACTAAACTTTGTTTTCAATCCTTCGTAAAATATTCACTCTAGTGATATAACTAGATAGTAAAAATGCTCATCTTTTCTTCTTAGAAAAAATATATTCTTTGTTCACGCTATAACATGATTCGTTCTATATTGGGGCTCGTCATGTAGCGACAGATATCGAAGATGAATTCAGAGATACTCTGAGAGATAAGGACAAAAGTCTTGTTCAAATTTCACGTGACAAATCTTCAATGATACTTCATCTACTTAAGAACACAGAAAGTAGACATAAATGTATATCTTTGAATTGCGTAGCGACAGCTAACTTTTTTAACAATAAAAAAAAACAAAGTTCTATAATTAATTTTATAGAAGACGGCAAATTATGACCAGCAATCTCTCTTTTCCCTCTAAAATAGGTAGTAAATGTGGTGTACAATGGGAAATTTTGTTAAAAACCCTTCTTTTCTTTTTCCGAATCAAATGAACAAATGTCAGTGTCATTATAATGTCATTGGCAGATGGTATGCATATTACTCGACATACGTTTTCTATCATCTCAACATGTAGATTAATATTTTTAAACTAGTAATATAGAGCCATCGAAAAAAACCTAATATTAGACCATGATACTATGACTTCCAAGATAAACCCACTTCGCAATCGAATTTTGTACGTCGATGCGCATGAC